AACCGTGGGAGAATTAACATGAACATGTAAACAGGAACTGAAGGGAAGCGAAGAAGACTATATTCAAACCTAGCAACTATCGTGCTATCCGAGTAGAAACAAAGGTGGATGGTCCATGGACGCACAAAACAAAACAAAAACAAGAAAAAGAGAAGAAAAAAGCAGTGCAGCTAGCTGCAGTGCAGAAGTGCGGGAGGCATGAGAGCTCTACGACAGCACGTCCAGTCATAGAGCGTGCGTGAAGTGCGATCTTGATGGATCCAACGAGCCGCTCCCAGGCTCCGCCTGTGTGGGGTGCCGCCGGCGGGCTTCATTCAGCTCCCGAATGGCCTGGTGGAGCTCTTTGGCGGTGCCTTTGAAGTTGGTTCCGTTGTCTGAGTGGATCACCAGTGTGTAGCCTCGCCTGCTGATAATTCACCGGATAGCCATTAACGTTGAGTCGGTGGACAGGTCGTGCACTAGCTCCACGTGAACGGCTTGGTTGGCGAGACAAGTGAAGAGAGCGCCGTCCTGCTTCTCATGTCTGCGCCCAACAGTGACAGACAGCGGGCCAAAGTAGTCCAGTCCTGTCCATGTGAAGGGTCGCTGAAAGGCGTCAGTGCGGCACTCTGGCAGGGCAGACATGATTGGTGGCTGCGGTTTGGCACGGAGATCCTAACAATGCTGCCACTCGCTCCAGGTGCTTCTTACCGCTGCATGGATACCGGGTACCCAGTACTTCTGACGCAGCTCGTTCACTACGCAATCCTATCCTTGATGTAGTGACCAGACATGGTGTTGCTGCATAAGCAGCCTAGTGAAGGCGTGTTTTGGCGGGAGCAGTACAGGTTGGCGCAGGTTCTTGTTTCCAACCGTTGCGTTCCGTACGCAACTGTCAGAGCACATGATGCCATAGTCGTAGATGAAGGTTGTCATCTGGACCAGGCGGCTGTCCTTGTCGACTGCCTTGCCATTGCGGAGCGTAGCGAGTTATTCGGGGAAGCCTTCTGCTTGTGCAGCTTTCCATCAAAAGACTCCGCGGCTCGCAGCTCAGGGGACTGTCACCGACGGCTTGGCAGCGTCTCTTTCTCCGTGTCTCAGGTGGCGAGTGAAGCGTAGCACCCAGACGGTTGCTCTTACCAGGCGACACCAGTTTGAGAATCGCTTGATCTCTGGTTGTACTGCCTTCGGGTTGGGTGGCTCTGAGCTGTCTCCGGCTGCTGCGTTGTCGCCACTGAACAGATGCTTCAGCTCGGGATCATCAAGGTCCGGCGTACGAGTCTCCTCGGCGGGCCAGTCTGCTTCGCCTTGCCTCAGATAGTCCGGGCCGCCCAACCAGCGATTGTCCGGCTGCAAGCGCTGGGCAGAGATGCCTCTAGAGAGATCGTTAGCTGGGTTCTCTCTTGTTGGTACCCAGTGCAACTGGTCTACTTCAGTTGTGTCCGTTATTTCCGCGATCCGCTGGGCCACAAATGGTTTGTATTGTCGTGTGTCCGAGCGTATCCACAGCAACACCTTTCTGAAGTCCGTCTAGAATATGACCCGTGGAATTGAGATACACAGCTGCTCCTGGGCGGTACAGGATAGTCGCGAGGGGAGGACCGCGGCCTGGAGTTCCAGACGGGGTATCGAGGCCGGTTTTATTGGAGCAACGCGTGCCTTAGCTGCGACTAGGGACACTGCCAGCTGTTCGCTACTCTCAAGTACGCAGCGGCGCCATATGCTTTCTCGCTTGCTTCTGCGAACACGTGCAGCTGGATGTCTGTAGCGACTGCAATCAACGGTGTGTAGCACGGTGGCACTTCTACGGTGGCCACTTGGTCTAGCTCTGCCGCCCAATCGTTGCCTTGTTCCGTGGAAGGGTGATGTCGGCCTCACGCCAGAGTAGCCCCGTTGGCCACCGGCGTCCGGTGCGTGTGGTGAGCGTATCTACCAGCTGGAGTGCGCGGTCGTCAGCCTTGCTGCGAATTTCCGTGGGCTTGATCCCGAAGGAGTCGAGGGCGAACTACTACTTGATCAGGTCTTGGAGGTCGCTAACGAGACCCCAGTTGGACAGAATCACGCCTTCGTCGATTCTGTAGTGGCGGGCACTCATTTCGCCATGAACAACCCGCCCTCGCTTGGTATGTGTAGCTACGGGTGCGTTTGGTGGGCCCTCGGCGGTCACCCGTGGTGCAATCAAGTTGTAATGGTCTTGTCCGATTAGGAGTCTGGGCTTGGCGCAGAGCAACGTTGGTAGGTCAAGTCCCTCCAGGTGGGGGCAATTGTTGTACCGTTGAGGGTTCATTTATTGTGTTGTCAGGTTGAACTTGGCATGAATGTGAACGTTGGTTTAAAAAGTGAAGCTGTCCTGTCTGTGCCTGCCAGCTACGCTGAATGTTACTACCTTGGAGCTGGACTCCTGGTGCTGCTTGCCATCCGTCCACGACAGCCTCAGGGGCCGAGTTGGTCCTGCAAGCCCAAGTTCCTCCGCTAGTTCACTCTCAATCAAGGACACTATTGAGCCTTCGTCCAGGAGTGCGTACGTATCAGCCGCTGTGTCTCCGTTTCGTACCGTAACCAGAATCACCCTCAGCAGTACCCTTCCACTGTGTTCCGACACGTGGGTTGCCGACGTGTACCGGTATGTCATCTCCGATGTGCGTTCTAGCGGTGCTGCACGTCTGCGGCCATCGCATTGTAGTAGAGGATGGTGGGGTCTGTTACATGAGCAGGCTTTCTTCTCGCAAACCCTCGCTAGGTGGCCTTCGCCAAGGCAGCAGAAGCACAGCCGTTTGTCACTAACGAACTGGCGGCGGGCGTTAAGTGGTTCCGCGGGTAGCTGGCGGCAGCTATTCGTGGTGTGCCCCAATTTGCTAGAGAAGAGGTGATGTGGCTTACTAGCGCTGGCCTCCAAGACTGTGAGCGTTTGGCCTGTGCGTGGAGTGGCATGAGTGGCGTCACATGGGGTCTGCTGAGCGACTAGGCATGCAGCCTGTGCCCTCTGTTCAAGCCAGGCAGAGAAGGTGTCCAGGTGCATGTCTACGCTGGTTTTGAGCACGTACTCTCCCCACTGAAACCGACCCGCGCGCCCCCCCCCCCCCCCCCAGACGGCTTGCCAACTAGGTCCTTGAGAAACTGAGGGTTGTAGGGGTGGCCGGTGCACTTTGTGCTGCGCAAAGTGGCGACAAGGTTGCGGTACACGGCGCTAATCCCAATCAGTGCCATGATGGCCTCCTCCGACTTCATACCTCTCTGTGACTTCTTCTTCAGAATGAGGTTCTGGACAATCTGGACAATCTGGTCCGGCCGGACGAACCTCATCCTCAAGATGGAGATAACCTCCCCCACATTGTCGGGGAGAGTCATCATCCCCTGCACGACTTCCTTGTCTTTTCCGCGCAGTGTTTTCTGTAATCATCCAAGGTTCTCACCGTTTAAGAAGCCTCATTCTATAGTCGTGTGTTCCAGCGTGAAGATAAAGGCTGGCCACTCGTCGGCATGTCCAGAGAACTGAAGCGAGTCCTTAGCAGTGGACTGCCTTGCCATGAAATGGTGTGTGGTGTGATTCATGGCGTGTGACTGCCTTGCAGGGGTAGGACGTGTACCACTGGGTTCGTTCCCTGAAGCCCGCTCACCTTGGTCGTCCAGCAACAGATCCTGGATTTGCCCATTGGCTTCCTCCAGCACTGCTCCGATGTCTCTCTCCGCTCGCTCGGCACGCTGTGCAAGGTCAGCTAGGCTTATGCTATCCGTGCATGTCAGCTCCTATCCGTTGCGGGTATCCCGTGATGGACGGGACGAACTGGACCGGACGCTGGCATTACTGCTGCCGCTTGACCAGTTTCTGTACAACTTCTTCTGGAGTTCTAGCTTCTTGCGGATCAGCTTTCGCTCTACTTCTGCGAGCTCTTCCGCGGCGATTCATTCCGCTTTGGTGTCGAGCTCGTCTACTCGAGTCTCTACTTAGTTCGAGTGTGGCGATACCGGACCCTTTCCGCAGAAAATCCGGCTCGAAGGAGATCTCAGTGCCACGTGGCACAACCCTCGTTACAGACACGAGCTCCAAATTTCTCTTGTTGGTTTGAAAGTGTTCTTTATTGATCTGCTCCTGTTCTCGGCAGTTGTGTGATTATAAGAAAAGTGAGTCGTCCATGCAAGGAAAAGCGTAGTATAGTACTCTTTACGGAGGTGACACAATAGGTGCCCAAAGGGGTAAAGCAAAAACGAAAAGGGTGCGGCGAGTTAGCGCAGTCATGCAGCAACACAACCTGAGAACAGATAAATATAAACATGGTTTGATGTGAAAATTGCGCAAAAAATTAAACAAGACTGCTGAAGGGTACCCGTTCACCCGCCCGTTAAAAAAATTTCCCGTTTTGCTTTGCCAATTTTTCCTAGACCTTGGTTTTACCCGCGTGTGTATGTGTGTGTATGTGTGTGTGGGGGGGGGGGGGGGGGTGCGTGTGTATGTATGTGTGCGTGTGTGTGTGTGTGTGTGTGTGTGTGTGTGTGTGTGCGCATGAATCCCCTATAGGGGAGGGTTCACACCACTATAATAGGGATTCACCCACCTTCACCTTTGTTTTAGTAATGTTGTGTTTATGGATTCTCCACAGGCTTTAGCCTAAATAGAGGGAGTCTCCGTCAGCAGCTTATGAAGAAGAAGAAGAAGCTGAGGAAAAAAATAAAATTAAAAGATAGAAAGATGCAGGGTGGTAGTAATTTACTTCAGTGCTGTATGATATCGGTGCTCTGAAACCAGAGGGCTCAAAACAGGTGATAACAAAGTGGGTGCGGACAAGAGCGATACAACATGTTGGGCTGAA